TTACAAGAATGAGTAATAAAATAATTCGAGAGGAATTACGTTGAAAAATGTTCTATTAGAAATAGTCAATTTCTTGATTTATAAGTAGGATTGAGGCCCAGTCCGGTCCGAAAGGTCGATTCGTACATCGAATTTTGGCCCGAAAATGACTTGGTCGGGCCGGCCCGATAAAAATGAGGCCCGACAAAGATGACTCCCGACTCGAAAACCCTAGCCCTATAAATAAGCGAAATTGGGAAACTGGATTTTAGATTAAATTTCCAAGACTTCTAAAAGATTGGAGAATTCCTTCCAAAAAATTTTTTTATAATTTTATAGGTTGTACAAAAAGCACTAGAAACAGCACGTGAAGGTCGTACTTGTCTTATAATTGCACATCGATTGTCAACAGTTCAAAATTCTGATGTTATTGCTGTTATTGATGAAGGAAAAGTTGTAGAATTGGGTAAAAATATTAATTTTTAATTTACAAGAAATATTTAATTTTTAAAGGAACCCACAATGAATTGTTAAGTCGTGATGGAATTTACAAGACGCTATGTGAAACACAAATTTTAAAAGACAATAATATTTAAATAGATAACTTTATAATTTGTTATTTAAAAAAATTTCTTTCTCGTTATAAATTAAATTTTTTTATTTAAATTTTGAGTATGCTTCCGTTTTAAATATGTTCCATTTTTAACTTTCATTCAACTTCATCGCCTAGTTTTGTAATCCTCGTAGCGTTCATGTCATCGACCAGTACTCGTTCAACTTCAAAACATAGCTATTTCGAAAGAATTAACTGAACCAAATCGAGTGACAGCAACATTAACCTCACTCGACGATTCTAGACAAAATTGTGAAAATAGAAACCTATTTATTGTTCCTCAACTTTAGACACATCTAACTTTGGCACTGAAATGGCTCTTAATTGTTACCGTTTTCCATTACTATAAAAACCTTTTGATTTCCAAATTTTTTTACTATAAAAGACACTTGTCCCAAATCTCAAAATTTTACCTCATAAATATTTGTGTTATCTTCCGTTATTTTTAGTTCTATATTTTATTTTGGGTGGTTCACGTGTCAAAAAGAATGATGAGATTGTTCAACAGGATTGCAAAAATAAATGTTCATGGAGATGTTGATGTGTCGGTCTACAGATCAGTACGATCAAAGCTGAGAGTGGCAGTTGCCTCCGTGCCAGGGCCGATGGTGAAAGGGAAGATTAGCTTTGGTAAGTGCCTCTATACTTTTTCACAAAGTAATAATGAGTCTTGCGTTTCAGAGTTCTTATTTTATTCATTAACTTTCAGTTACCGAAACGACTACGAATGATGGATTACCGCACACTTTGGAGCACTTGGTTTTTATGGGCAGCAGAAATTACCCCTATAAAGGGTTTCTTGACGTCATCGCGAATCGTTGTAAGTTTTATGAATTCTTATATTGCGTTTTTGCTTGGGTTGAACTTCCTAATTTTCGATCGGAAGCTAAAGACATTAATTTGTTCGGAAATGTACAAAATGATATAGTAAAATTTTTTCGCAAAAGACTGCCTATTCTCAAATAATGTCCACTTATTGTAGGTTTGGCTTCTGGAACAAATGCCACGACCGATCAGGATAATACTTGCTACACATTGACGACTGCTGGGTCTGCTGGATTTCTGAAAACGCTTCCAATATTTCTGGATCATTTGCTCTCTCCATTGTTAACGGTTATTGAATAATTAATTTTAAAATAATTCTGAAAATTTAGGACGCTCAATACCTTACAGAGGTGCACCATATTGACGGGAATGGTGCAAACTCTGGCGTCGTCTACAGTGAGATGCAGGATTTAGAAAACGACATGGAAATTATTGTCGACAGAAAAAGGAAACAACTATTTTACCCACCTAATTCCAGCTATGCAGTATCGGCAGGTGGCCGATTGGAGGAACTTCGGACACAGTGCTCAGCTGAGCGTGTTAGGGAATTTCACAAGCGCTTTTACAATCTCAATAATATGGTTTATCTTTCTGATTTTTAATCGTCACAAATTTTTATTTTTAGTTCATTACTGTTAGTGGCTTTATTGACCATGATGATTTGCTTCAGGCTGTGGCAAGTGTGGAAGGACCAAATATTTCATTGATTCCGGAAAACTTCAATCGCCCCTTCTCTTTACGGACACCGCCCATCAAAGAAGAAAAGTGCGTCGTTATATGCCCTGCCGATGATGATACAATCGGTATTAAATTTTTGGGTTCGAAAATTATTTTTAATTAAATTTAGGAGTGGTGGAGATCTCATGGTTAGGGCCTAAAGGATCTGAAGTATACAAGAATCGTGCGCTACTTCTTCTCTTTGATTATCTCGTTGATACCTCTGGGGCGCCTTTGAAAAAGGATTTTGTCCAAATTGAAGAACCATTTTGTTCATCAGTTTCTATTTCCTTGATTGAACAGACTGATTGTGAAATTGTTATGACTTTTGAAGATGTTCCTGTTACAAAGAGTGATCACATTCGAAATAGGTCTGTTTAACTTCTATTTATTTAAAAAATGATTTTTGACAGATTTTTCTCAAAAACTGCAGCTGAGCATTCAAATATTGATGTTTTTGACATGGAACGACTACACTTTATGATTGATCAACAAACCAGAAGTTTTCTGCTTAAGATGGAAAACAGTCCCCACTCATACATAGCAGACGCAATTATTGGGCACCAATTGTACGGCCCATCAAATGAAAATGAGCAGGAAAAGGATTTGGAAGAACGGCTTCAAGAGGTTTTAATTTTTTAACACTATGAATTATGAAAATTTTTATTCTTTAAAGGTACAAATTCTGAAACGACTACGCAATGAACCTGCCAATTTTTGGCATTCATTATTCTCTGAAACTTTCACGCAAAACTGTGTTTGTGTTATTGGCAAACCAAACAAGGAAGCAGTAGACGAATTGATGGAGAAGGTATGAGTCTATTCAATTCATTTTTAATTTCTTCAATTAGGAGAAAACGCGCCTTGATGATCAAGTGAAGTTATTTGGCAAAGATGGACTCAAAAAGAAGGCTCAAATCTTGTCTGATGCTATTGCGGAAAATAAGGTTAATTTTCATCATTCTTTTAAATGTTAATTTTCCTGAAATTTAGGCAAAACAACCTACATCAGATGTGCTTAAAGATCTCATTGTAAAGGATCTCGAAAAATTTCGTCTTATTCCCGTCAATTCTGATGTTCTTAAAGACTGGCCTATTCACACAACGTGGCATGAGATTAAAAGTGATTTCTTTGAGGTAATGTGTATTTGATTTGTGTCTTTCCATCAGTGATTAATTTTTATTTAAGGCAAATACTTTGATAGACACAAGTAAGATTCCTGCTAATCTTCGCAAATATATGATGTTATGGGCCGAACTATTATTCCAGTCTGATGCGACAATTGACAATAAAGTATGGACTTATGACGAAGTGGCTAAACTAGTCACTCGTGACTTAGTTTCAAGCTCTGTCTCATTGGGTGTCTCAGGTGTTTACTCACGCTTCATCTCTCTTCATCTTCGTGTTGACACAAACAACTATCATAAATTGGCCGATTGGACAGAAATCTTTCTCAAGAAACTCATTCTCAATCCGCAGCGTATACTTATTTGTGCAAAAAAATTAGCGAATTATGCAGCCGAGTACAAACGTGATGGAAATTCTATTGCTCATTTTTTGTCTAACTATATGGTCTATGATAAAGGTTTACTTTATTAGTCAGATGTAAAAAAGTTTTATTTTCAGATTCTAACGATTTTGTTTTTGGATATCTCAGCAATGAAAAGTTCCACCGTTCCATTGCTTCATTGGAGAATGGAAAACTTGATTCAGTAATGGATAATTTAAAAGAATTAAATGACTCAATTCTCTCTTCATTGCTGAATTTACATCTTGTTGGAAGTTTTGCGAATCTACCACAGAGTGAACAAATTGGAAAAGCTTGGACATTTTTAGAGAATCAAAGGCCTAAAGAACAATCAGAAGTAATGGTTTTCTTTTTAAAGCTCCTACTTTCTTAATTTACTCATTTAACTTTTATCATTTAAGTGCGATCCAGATTATGGACAAAACTGGGATAAAATGGGAGAGGTCAACGCAATTTCTGTCGGCGGGTCAGAAAGCGCCTTTTTACTTCGGAAAGCAAAATTCAACGATGATTGGAGAGGCGAATCAACAATGTCTGCTCTACTTCTTGCTCAATATATCTGCCAATCTGAAGGTCCTCTTTGGAATTCTGTGCGAGGCAATGGTTTAGCCTATGATGCGTCAATCTACATTTTACCAGACAGAAAATCGATCACTCTAAATTTATATCGTTGCTCAAAGTTGAAGCAAGCTTATGAGAAAACGCGCGAAACAGTGGTTAGTTTTCAATTTTTAATTAAAGCCTTGCAATAAATTTCATTTTTAATTTAAGCTTTCTGTCCTTGATGGAGAACTTAATGAAGCCGAGTTTGAAGCTGCAAAAAGAAGTCTAGTTTGTGAGCTTATAAGTGGACAAAGCACCATCAAATCCACTGCGATTTCCGCAATTTTGGCAGTCTTTCGAAATGTCAATACGGAATTTACAAAGTATTAATTTTGCTTTTTTAAATAAATATTATTTTTATTTTTTAGTTATCTATGTTCACAAATATGGAATGCAACAAAAGAGAATGTACTAAAAAATGGCTCACCTGCGATTAGAAATCTCTTTGATGATGAGAAGTCAGTCACAGCCATAGCTTCAAATTCAAATAGAAAAGAGGAAATTAAGAAGTTATTTCCAAAAGTTAAAATCATGAAATTAGGAGATCTACAGTTGCCAGAAAATTGATTTTTTTTTGTTTTTGTTGTTGTTTATTTTGTTTGTTCTATTTTTTTTATTTTGTTATATAAAGGTTTATGTTTTGATATTTTTAAATTCAATTGTCGATTTTTCATTTCGATTTTTACTTTTTTTTTTATTTTTATTCAAAATTTTAAATTTTTTAAAGCTAATTAATGAACGATTTTGGGTCAAATTCAACGGGTCATATATTAGATCAACTTCCTTCATCTTCAAATCAACAACACATTCCTGTATTTCATATAAATAAACAACATATTGTCAACGAGGATTATTACGATTTGGATAGTATTTTAGCAATGAAAGCAAATGTTCATTGTGTATTTGAATCAGGAACTCCTCTTGGTTGCTTTTTTGTTTATTATGAAAATTATGTTTTAAATTTCAGAAATCTTCCCATTAATTGGACAAAAGTTGCCCGAAGCAATCGTTGAAAAAACAACTCATCAAACTGTTGTTCCTGTTTGGTTACTTTCTGCAGGGATTGGAGATATTTGTCGGGTTTCTTTCTTAGCTTTTTTAAATATGAAATTTATTATTTAGTTTAACTTGCCAAATGCCTACAACAAAATTAATTCTGATGTTATTGCTGCTGGAGCAGCTTCAGTTAATTTGGAAACTACTCGTATTGTGGCAAGACAGCATTATTTTTATTTGTTGGGCATCTTTTTGTGCAGGTTCTAATTTTTATTAATCCATACATACGATTTACTAGAATTAAATATTTCAGGCATATTAACTTAACTGAGGGTAAAAGAATTGCTACAACGTTAATTGATGCATTTACTCAAAGAATTGGCCAAATAATTTCACTTGCTGTTGACACTAGGTTCAATTAAATTTTTTAGCATCTCAAAATTAAATAACCCATGGCTTCTTTTTTCGTCTCTAAAAATCATGTTTTCTTATAGGCGATTCTGATGTAGATTAGGAGGGCAAAGTAAAATATAAATTTGCTTTTTGTTCTTTATTTACTCGCAATTAATTCGTATATTATAATGAATTGGAGGCAGAATGATATATTATACGTTCCCAAAGTTTATATTTGGAAAAATAGTCATTTAGGTCCACACATTCAATATTCTAAATTTTATTACATATTAAGATTTAATTTAAAAATTTATAGTTTAAAACCTCGTGATCTACTCGATGAAAGTGAGAAAATGCTTTTTTATGCCATTCAACACTCTGAACGTCTTCAACATGACTGGGTTATACGTGAACTTTCTCATTCCAAACGACGATCAACAAAGCGTAAATTTAATCAAGAATGTGGTTCTTTTTTACTTTGATAATATATACTGGTTTAATTATTTTTCCCGCTGATTGTTTATTTTCCGACTTATCTTTCAAACAAAAATTAAGGTTTTGGGCTTGATTTATAATACTTTTTTCTGAAAAACGATTAAAAATCCCTTTTGGTAAAAAAATTTTTTGTCTTCCCTAATCAAAATTAAAACACTCTTTAATTTGTCAATTTACATTATAAAAAATTTAGGCATAGGGCGAGGATCCCACTGTTTATGGAACAATATATATTTTTATTTTACGCTGCTTCATTGACCATGATGCATTGCTTCAAGCTGTGGCAAAAGTGGAAGAACCAAACATATTCCTGAAAACTTCAATCGTCCCTTCTCTCTGCGGACACCACCGATTGAAGAAAGAAGAGATGCCGTTGTTATTTGCCCTGCCGATGATGATACAATTGATTTTAAATTTTTGGGTTTGTAAATTATTATAAATATGTATATTTAGGGATGGTGGAGATTTCTTGGTTAGGACCCCAAAGGTGCTCTTCTCCTTCTCTTTGATTATTTAACCGAGACCTCAGGAGCGCCTTTGCAAAAAGATTTTGTTCAAATTGCCGACCCTTTTTGTTCTTCTGTTTCTATTTCTTTGATTCAACAAAATGATTGTGAGATTGTTATGTCATTCGAGGATGTCCCTGTTACAAAAAGTAATCAAGTTCGAGAGAGGTCTGTTTAAACTTTATCTAGTTTTAGAAACGAAAATAGAACAAAGATTTTCCAATTCTTTTGTATTCAACTGTTGTGCGTAGAAACACACTGCAATATTTTTTGGGAAAAATCTGTTAAATAAACAGTCAATTATCGTTTCTAAAACTAGATAAAGTTTAAACAGACCTCTCTCGAACTTGATTACTTTTTGTAACAGGGACATCCTCGAATGACATAACAATCTCACAATCATTTTGTTGAATCAAAGAAATAGAAACAGAAGAACAAAAAGGGTCGGCAATTTGAACAAAATCTTTTTGCAAAGGCGCTCCTGAGGTCTCGGTTAAATAATCAAAGAGAAGGAGAAGAGCACCTTTGGGGTCCTAACCAAGAAATCTCCACCATCCCTAAATATACATATTTATAATAATTTACAAACCCAAAAATTTAAAATCAATTGTATCATCATCGGCAGGGCAAATAACAACGGCATCTCTTCTTTCTTCAATCGGTGGTGTCCGCAGAGAGAAGGGACGATTGAAGTTTTCAGGAATATGTTTGGATCTTCCACTTTTGCCACAGCTTGAAGCAATTCATCATGGTCAATGAAGCAGCGTAAAATAAAAATATATATTGTTCCATAAACAGTGGGATCCTCGCCCTATGCCTAAATTTTTTATAATGTAAATTGACAAATTAAAGAGTATTTTAATTTTGATTAGGGAAGACAAAAAAATTTTTTACCAAAAGGGATTTTTAATCGTTTTTTTCAGAAAAGTAGCATTAAATTTGATCTCTATTTTAATTATTTTCACTAATTATTTTAATTTTATTTTTCTTTCGATAAACTAATAAATTTCTAAAAAACTATTTTAATAAGTTTCTTAACATATTTTTATTTTTATATTTTTATCGTTAAAAAGAAACATTGGTTTTCTCTAAGTTTTATTAATGGCCACTGATGAAGATAACTTTTCAGAACAAATTAATGAGTGTAGAAAGGTTGTTCAATTTATTTAAAAAAGTAATGGCCTAAAATTAAATTTCCTTTTCACATTTTAATTGTGTGAATTGATTAAATTTAGACCTAAAATCAATTTTCGGTAATTTACACTTTCCAATCAGTTTTTTATTTTCTGATTGGTCTTATCTTTTCCAACAACTCTAAATTTGCTAAAGAAATGTAGAAATCCTTGAATTATTTTAAGATGACTGAACCAGCTATACGTCCAAAAATTGTCGAGATGAGTGCAGAAGTATTGGACACAAATCCTTATTCTCGTCTAATGGCGCTTAAACGAATGGTTTTCTATTAAATTTATTATTTTTAAAATAATTGATTTAAAAATTCATCTAACCCTTCTCGTCGATTTTTTATTTCTTAGGCTTATGAGAATATTTTGTAGTGAACCAGGATGTGCCGGGTTACCCGAAACCCACTTTTTTCAAAATCCGACCCAAAGAAAATTTTAAAACCTGAAATCCGACATTTTACTTACAATTAACGCGAAATCCGATCCGAAGGAAATTTTGAAACCTCAATCAGGCCCTTTGCTTTGTGGATGGGCCTGGCCTCAATCAGACCCATCCCCGTTTTACATTATAAAATATTTTTTTATTTGTAACAATTTAAATTTTTAAAGGGAATTGTTGACAATTATGAACGTATCCGTGAGAAAACAGTTGTAGTTGTTGGTATTGGAGGTGTTGGTTCTGTTGTTGCTGAAATGTTAACTCGTTGTGGAATTGGAAAGATTATAATGGTTTGTTAAATTTTTCTTTAAGTTTACTTTTTTTAAGTTTGATTATGATCGTGTTGAATTGGCTAATATGAATAGATTATTTTATCAGCCACATCAGAGTGGATTGAGTAAAGTGGAAGCAGCTCGTGATACTTTAATGTAATCTTTTAAATTTATTAAGAATTTATGAATATAAAATGGTTATCTATTCCGGACTTTGTCTTTCCGATTTTCTCTGCCTTAACTCATTTTGCTTTCTTTTAAATAGGAGCCTTCGGAAAATTTCTCGGAAGAAACACCAGAAAAAATATACGTGCATATTTTTTCTGTTTATAAGCAGACAAAAGCGAGATAGTGTATAAAATTGCTGGTGCTCATAAGAGAGACAATTATGGAAAAGAAAATTTCTGTCTAAATCCTTTAAGAATAGATTTTTCTAATACAAGATTTTTCTAATACCTTTAATTAATTTAAATTTCATATTATTTGTATTTTCACAGGCATATTAATCCAGATGTTGAATTTGAAGTTCACAATATGAATATAACAACAGTTGCTAATTTTGATATTTTTTGTCAAAGAATAAGGTTTTTTGAATTATCTAAAAAATAAATATTTAATTTTGTAGGGAAGGTGGATTGACTAAAAAATCTGTAGATATTTTACTTTGTTGTGTTGATAATTTTGAAGCTAGAATTGCTGTTAATACGGTCTGAATATTTAATTATAATTTCTAATTTTTTAAAGGCATGTAATGAAATTGGTCAAATTTGGATAGAATCTGGAGTTAGTGAAAATGCAGTATCTGGACATATACAATTTATGGAACCTGGGAAATCTGCATGTTTTGTGGTAATTTTTAATTTATAAATTTTCAAAAGGGAAAATCCTTTTAAAGTAATCTTTTGAAACATTTTTATTGAAGGTTAAAAATTGGCAATGTTTTACCTGAATTTTAGACCCTTAGTGCTCGAAATATTATACATAAAAAGCGAGCATATCAATAATTAGGGTATCGTTTGGGGCTTCCCCAACTCCAAAGTTAACATTTTTTTAGCCAACCAAAGTTAACATTTTTTTTTTTTTTTTTTAGCCAACCAAAGTTAACATTTTTTTTTTTTAGCCAACCAAAGTTAACATTTTTTTTTTAGCCAACCAAAGTTAACATTTTTTTCCTATCTGTGTTCATCTTGGGCCTGGGGTTTTCCTGGACTACAGTCCCAAGATCCGGCCCAGGCTTTTCAAAAATCCTCGATCTCTAGCGTATTTATTGGGTGTATGTAATAGAGAAGTTCAACTGTAGATTCTTTCAAAATTATTCCCGAATTTATATTTCGAAAATTAAAATTATTTTCCCTTTTTAATGATTTTTTTTCAATTCTCTCTTTACATTAAATTAATTTCATTATTTCTTAAAGTGTCTTCCTCCATTAATTGTGGCTTCAAATATTGATGAAAAAACTCTTAAAAAGGATGGTGTATGTGCTGCAAGTATATAAATTTATAGAAATTTTTTTAGTTAAAAAATTTTTTCTTTTAAAGGTTTACCAACAACAATGGCTGTTATTGCTGGTTTATTAGTACAAAATGCACTCAAGTTTGTATTTTTTAAATAATTTTCTTAAAAATTTTTTTAAAGATTTTTATTAAATTTTGGTCAAGTTACTAATTTTCTTGGCTATAATGCGTTTGTTTCTTTGTTAAAAAAATTTTTTTAATTAAATTTTTAGACTTGTTGATTTTTTCCCTCAAGAAAAAATTCGTCCCAATCCTCTTTGTGAAGATAAAAATTGTAGACGTTTACAAAAAATTTATTTGGTTAATTTTTTGGAACATTTAAAAAATAATTTTAAAATTTTTAGGAAGAACAAGAAAAATTAAAAGCATTAAAATCTGATGTAAAAATAATTGAGGAAAAGACAAACATTGTTCATGAACTGAATGAATTTGGTTAGTAATTTTTAAAAAATTAAAATTATTTTAAATTTAATTTGTTTCCCATTATTTTGGAGAATAATATTTATAGAAATATTTTTAGAAAAAATTTGGGAACTAATTAAAAATTGGGCATTCCAAAAAGTGTGGTAATAATTTAAAATGGCCTTTATGTGGGTTTACTTGGTGTAAATTTATTTAATGTTAGATTTGAAAAATCTTCCGAGAATTTTTTTATTTTTTAAAATATTTTTTTGACACTACGGAAAAATTAAATAATATTATTGGATAACCCCATAGAAAATATCTTTTAAATAATTTAAAAAATAAAACTTAATTTCAATATACAAATTTAAATTAAATTTATTTTGAAGGAATTGAATTAGTATCAGAATCTACCTTTGACCAAACACCTTCAATGTTTGTTCCTTCTTCGTCTGGAATTAAATTAGCTTATGAACCTGGATCTTTAGACGATAATAATGAAAAAGAGGATGAAAATAATTCAAAAACAACAACTAAAGAACTTGGGGATTTAATGGCACAATTAAAGTCACTTTAAAGTTAAAAAACAGATTTTTAAAATTTGTCTGAAAATAAGTGATTGTTTAGCAAATTATTGTTGTGGTTATTGCATAATTAAATGCTTTTTTGTATAATTTTATTTTTTTAGAGTGATGTGATGGATTAAAGTCCTCAAGAGACAATTCGTCCCAATCCTCATTGTGAAGAGAATTTTAAATATTTCTTTAAAATTTTCTTTATTTGGTATGACCAGCCTATTTCAGTTATTTTTCAAAATGTTTAGAAAGCTAAATTATTTAAAAACGTCACACTCATGTTGCAAATTTCCCTCAAAATTAACCTACTATTAAAATCTAAGCTGTTTCTATAAAAGCAATTTAAATGTTGACATCATTTTACAACTCTACAAAACTTTTACATTATGTTGTCTGCTCTATATTGTTTAGCTCTTCTATTATTTCAACCAATCGTCATTTTCTCTTTCAACAATAGCAGCAGTACAGAATTACTGGTAACCAAAACGTAAGATAAAATCTTTTATTTTTTAAAAGAAAATTCCAAAAAAAATTTTCAGAACTGTCCCACCAAATGAAAATCAAAGGATGTTCTATGCTATAATTTCTGGAGGAAATCCTTGGGAAATTCAAAAACACGATAGTAAAGAATTCAACAAAAAGGTGGAAGAGGTATACAAACAGAACTTGACGGACAAAGCAACGACAGGTAATAAATAGTGAAACAGGTGAAACATCGAGATTATTGTATTTTCGGTGTCGCCACCGAAGAGAATCGAAATTGGACTAATCATCAGATTGACGGTGAATTATCTTCGGGAACTTCCTCTAAAAGTACAACAACCCTACTTTAAATCAAAAGAAAATAAAAATATTTCAGAAGAAGAAATCGACAGCACTGTTGTCACCACTGTCGCAAAGCGAGGAAAGCATTACGATACTTCGTGGCGATGGGGACTTGTATCTGGATGTGCTTTGTAAGAATAAACTTTTAAATTATAATTTTTATCTTTTACCAGTTTTTTGGCTGCTATAGTAATTGTGCTTGGTTGGGAACATTGCGGGGATGAGGACCAAGCTGATTAAAAAAATACAAAGAATAAATTATTGTAATGTGATAATTTTTTTGTGTAAATTGTGCCGTTTATTATTTTTAGACTTAGAGAAAAATTAAAACTATTAAAAGCCTGACATGTATGTTTAATTAATTGGAGGAAATTTTTTCAATTTTTCGAAAATGGGGACGCACTCTAAATCTGCACTGAATTGACCGAAGAAAAATAGGGGTGAGGTTAGTTGAGAGCGGACTGGTTGAGGGCCAGCAAAATCGATCGCTAGCTATCTATCCTTGATCATATCCAAATTAATCATATATTATTATCAAGGTTGAGAGTATATTTAACCTTGGGGTATTTAAAAATGAGGCAAACAGCAAGACGGAACAAAATACCGAAAGTGCCAAGCTAATCTAATTTGCGCTGAACTAGCGGTAGAAATTCAAATAATATATTTCCTTTTTTCGCAACGAAAACTTTTAAAAAATGTCTATTTAAGCTTTTCTTGTTTTAAATGATTTTTGTTAGTATTCTTTCGTGGGTCATCTTATTTTTGTTCGGGTTTATATTTCTTTAAATTTTAGAAATGTTTTTCTTAATCTGTCTCCTAATTTTTTCAAATTCTCTTCTCGCAAACTCTTTTTCTAAACCTTGCAATGACACACAACAAAACCTCCATGCTAATGGATTATGCGACAAATTTGTGACATTTTGTGATGTAATTTTTGTTAAACCAAATTTCTAATTAAAGTTTTTTATTTAGGGTGGACTTCCTTTTCAATTTGAATGCCCTGATTTTTTCTTTTTTAATCCTGTTTCAAAATTTTGTGAGAGGATCTATGACTTCGTTGGCCTCAAACCTCAAAAATATCGAAAAAGCCCTTCTTCCCCGCCTTCTCTAGAAGGATGTAAAGATGAGGAAAAATGCGTTACACAAACCGAAGTTTTACCCTTTCTCTTTTACTTTTAATTTAAATTTTAAGTTACCAACTATACAACCAAAACTTCCACCTTTGATTGTTCCATCACTACAACTCCCGCCTTTGATTGTTTCTACAACAGAACCTCCACCTTTGATTGTTCCAGTGCCACAACCTCCTTTGCCTGTTTTTGGACATGTTTATGTGCCTCCACCTAGACTTGTTTATGTGCCTCCACCTCAACTGGAGGAGCGTTTTATTTCCGAAAAATCTAGCGCCTTTGCCCCAATGAACAGTCTTACGGATGTTGGTCACGATGCTTTTCTACCTTCTCCGCCTCTTTCTTTCATTCAAAGTGGGTTTGCTCCAATAAATTCTCATGTGGATTTTGGTCATGATATTTTCAACACTCGAATCAAACGTTCGGCAAATGATATTGACAAGTGTTTGGAGTTGTTGGGCAATTATTCAAAAGTTTGTTTAAATTTACTAAACATCTACTTTTTAATTATTTTTAGCCTTCAAATGAAACGCCATGTACTCATGACGAAATACCTGGTGGATGTCGACAATTTTATTTTGCATGCGTGAATGGGACTAGAGTTGAGCGTTATTGTCCTTTGGGTCTTTTCTTCAATCCTTTGCGTGAGGTGTGCCAACGTCGTGAACAAATTCAAACATGCCTGCCGACTTTTCCTAAGCCTTCGCGTCCTTTTAAAGTTTCTCCCCGGAAACAGATGGTGGCAACTTCTTCTGCAAGGTTTTAAGGATTCAATAGAAATTTTAGTTTAACTTTCTTAGACCTGTACTTCCTTCTTATTCTCAATATTATCCTGAGAAGTTTTGTTCGGAGTTGCCTGATGGATTTTACAAACATCCTCGTAATCATTCTCGTGTTCTTCAGGTTCTTAGAATTTTATGGAAATTAAATAATTTTATCTATTAGTGCTTTTCTCATCAACTTTTTGAGTATCCGTCTTGCTTACATGGTCTGGTTTTTGACGAGGTTCGTGGAGTTTGTGGTTATCCTCCTGACTTTGCTACAAAAAATGTTTCGGGTATAAATTTAACCTTTTTTAAGTTTAATATCATTTTTCAGTGACTTTCTGTGCTGGCGGTCATCATCATGGTGACCACGTTGCCCACCCGGAAAAGTGTACATCGTTTTATCGTTGTGTTTGGGGTCGTTTGTTTCCAATGAGTTGTCCACTTGGGACTGTATTTAATTCTCGCCTCAGTGTTTGTGACTATCCGAAGAATGTGCCAAATTGCAATTGACTTTAAAAATGTTTACAGACAGATAATTTTATTTGTTTTTTACTTAATTGACTCGTTTATATTGTTATGTAATAGAGACCGGATTGGGAGGGTCGAACAAAAATCAACGAGATTTCTCTAAGTATATCAATCTCGATAGCCAAGATTTTTGTTCGAATCTCTTTTCGGTCCGTTATCTTCTTATTTTGTTATTTAAAAAATTTTCTGATATATTTAAGTTTTATTATTTAAATAAATGGACAAATTCGAATAAATTAATTTACATTCAATGTTTTTTTGATCATTCAAGTTGATTTTCTAGAATTTATTTTTAATTGAAAAATTGTCTTTGTTTTTAATGATTTTTATTAAAAAGATTTTTGTTTCTGAAGCGTAATGTTTTTCTCTTATCAAATATTAATTCGGAAGAATGGGAACTTTGCTATTATTTGGTTAGTTTAAAAACAATTTTTCTTGATAACTTAACAATTTTAGGCGATACATGCATGAACGTAATCCTGCTAAAGTATCAAAGAAGGAATTACTTTCAGTTGATATTAGTCAAGCTTGGTATTTTTATCTTTTAAGTAAAAATTATTTCTCTCAATTTTTAGCACGGACCTGAGGAATTACGTTCCTACGGGAAGACTTGATAGCAGAGAGATTCAAAATAAAATGTCTCTTTATTTGCTGGCTCAACTTTCTTATGGAGTTGCTTTGGTACATAAGATTCAGGCCGATTATTTGATTGGTATGATTTAAAATTTTTATAAATTTATTGGTTTAATCCTCTTCACGGTTCTGTGACGGGTTGGAGTCAAAATTTTATTGTTTTATACATCGTGTTTACAGGTGATCTCCAATCGTTGCTCAATACAATGGTTTACGTGCCTGTTGAAAAACCACCACAGCCACAAAGGAAGCGCAGAGCGACTGAAGCTTCTGTTGCAGGCATGGAGCAGGAAGACTTTGATGATGTTCCGATGGAGACTCCTAAAACTCGCAAAAAACGTCGTACAACTCACGGGACTAGGCCATCTTTACTCGATCTTAGCGATCCTGTTTGTTTTTTAATCTAAAAATTATTTTTGAGTTTACTATTTTAGCGCTCTTATGTTGACCAACAAGTACATCCTCGTCGAGAGGTAAACGAATTACAAGAATTGGACGAAGCTTTTATGGATACGGCTGCTGGAGAAACATTACCACCTCTTGACTTTGCAGTAACTGATGAACAAACTGGAAGGGATGTTCAACGGAAAGTTTCAGTTGCATCATTATTACAGGACAGAGAAGATAGTTTCCGGGAGATGGAAAGGGCTTTGGGCATTGAACCAATTGAGAGAGCGGAAGAGGAAATTAACATTACTAATGGGCATGTGGAGCAACGACGTTCAGAAGGCGGACTTCCATCACGAGAAACTCTTGAGGTTTATTATAAATGGATTTTAAATTTAATTCTCAATTTTTAAAGGATTTGGGGCCAGAAATGCCTTTGGACGAAACTCGTGAGCCAATTTATCGTCAAAGCTTTGATCAGGCTGAAGATGCCTCGTTCTTGCAGAATTTTGATGTTTGTTTATTTTTAATAAAAGGTTAAATTAAAAACATTTTTAGGAACTGCGACTTGAATTACCTAACTTAGATTTGGATATGCCACCTCCTCGAGGCGTGCCTCATCGTAGACGTCGCCAAGTTGGTTTATTGGTTGATGAGCAGACACAGTTGACTGATGTATTTTTTCTTATTTTTAAAATAGTATTTATTTTGTTTTTAAGGAAGAAATTCAAGACCAAATTTTGAATATTAGAGGTGTTGTAAGAAACAATCGAGATTTTGAGAAGGAATTTAATCGTGATTTGCGATCACCACTTGCTCAACTTATGGAACCTTTTCAAAGTTTTCTTAAATTAAATTTATTTTTTAGAAATTTATTTTAAGGTGATTTTCTTCCTAATGAGGAGTTTCGTCCTTTGTTTGCACGTATTGAACATTACTCAAAGAGATATTTTGAAAGGCCATTAACTTTCGAAGAAGCACAACTTCTTACTTATGAGGTGTTTAATTAATATTTTTAAGTTAATAATTTATTTTTAGCAACTTCAACAACGTCGTTTTGAGGTTGATGTTGATTCGTTTCGAGTTAGTGAGCCTACACCTGAAGGCTCTGTTATACAACAAAATGGACATCCTCCTGTGAAAGTTTCGGTTGCTTCTCTTGTACTTCCTCCTGAAGTATTTTTTATTTTTAAACAAAATTTTTTAAAATTATTTTTCTTTTTAAGGAATTACTTGAGGAATTAGATGATCAGGAACGACGTTTTTCTACACCGTCTGCTATCGAGATTGGACGTCGAGCGGCTCGAGAGACAATTAATGGTATTTGGTTTATTTTTAGATAAATTAATTTTTTAAATGAGAAGTGAATTTTCTTTTCTTTTTTAAATTTACATAATATTTTTATAAAGATCTTGCACCTCTCAACGATTCTATACAAGAACCGCAGCATTCATTGGATGCAAGTAGTGATCGGCCATTAGATGATGATATTCCTTTGCGTCGTGAATCTATATTTACTAATACTAAAACATCGCCGGATGTGCCTGAAGAGGATTGGCTTGATGCGGAAATGAATCAACTTTATGAGTTTGTTTTTTTCATTAGTAATGGATAAAAAGGGAATGGATAAAAGTGGAACTCGAAAAAAGGAAAAATGTTTTTCTTTTGCTTAAAGTGAAAATGGGTTTGTTGATTTAAAAAAATTTGATACTGGCCCCAACCGTATTATAAGTTTCTGCGCGTAAAAAAAGAATTTAGATAAATTGTGAGAAACTATAGTATAATTTATTTTATGTTTTTAGAGTCATTGTGGAGAAAGTGGAGAGTCAAAACGTTGTTTGTTTTCCTCAAGCGGCAAAAGTAAATGAACTTGGGAAAGGAGAAATTGGTCGAAAACGTGCAGCTCGTAAATTCTTTACTTTATTGAGTAAGTTTTTTGTAATTAAATTTAAAAATGTAAAAATAAATTTAAAGAATTGTTAAAACATCGAAAAGTCAAGGTTCGTCAGCGTGAGCCTTATGGCTTAATCTTAATTCGTTTGGTTAGACAGCCGGGAGATTTGGATGTTTCGATGGCGTCAATGTAAATTAAAATAATTTTTTTTGATTTTTCTTTTGATTTTGGCTAAAAATTTTTCTTTTGGGATTTCCACTTTAAAAAATATTTAAAATATAATATGTCGCAATTTATTGTTTCCTTCTTTTACTTTTTTCCACGATTTTTGCTTAATGTTTGCTGGATTATTCACAGAATGCCATATACACAATTTGAGTCTTCATTTATTTTCATTTTTCTTTGATTCTGTGAATTTTCCATTGTCCCAAATTATATTAAAATTACTTGTTTTAAATTAAAATATAATTGTTTTACTTTTTCCTCTCTATTCTCTAAAACCACCTACATACATATCTCTCTTTAAATAATTTATTTTTGCTTGCCAGAATTTTAAAATAAAAATATTTTTGTGTTTAATTTTCTTTGTAATATTAAAGTATGAACATAATTGGCTTTACAATTTTTTTATTTTAGAATTTTTCACTTGTCAAATACTTTCGATTTAACAATAATTAAAATTATAGATTTAAAAATTTATTTATTCAATGGTGGGTGCTGGAGCATTTCGTACAAGTGTTTGGGATCCAACTTTAATAGCTGGACAAATTATTTGCCTTCAAAGTGCTTTTTACAGTGCAGAAAGTTCTTTAATGTTTTTATGGAGTTTTAGTGGATATATACCTTCTTTGGCTGAAATGTTTGCTGTCGAGGTTTTTTAATTTACATTTAGTACTAGATTACTAATTTTTGGCTTTTTATCTTTTCGGGCATGGGGGTTGGTTGTTTTCGGCAATAAGTTGTTTAAATTTTTACGTTTAAATGTGTAAATGTTTTCAAAATTCAAAAAGGTTTTTACAGAAAATATTTAGAAAACTAGGCGTGGACATTACTGACGCACATTTATTAATTCTCTAAAAGAGCCGAGTTTTTAAAATTTTTTTTTGTTTTAACAGATCCTTAGATTTTAGAATTATTATGTATAATAAAATATTTAGTAATCTGAATTATTTTATTTTTACATATAAATAGTTTGAAGATTTTTAAAAATCAATTTTTAGCCAACAAAGCCAATGGTTTTTATTCAATTGATTTCTTCTCTCTTTTGTGCTTTTATGTTACTTGTAATTGTTGGAAGAGCACGTCAATGTCTGGACTTTTCAATAACTCTACATTTTCTTCATTTCTTGGCTGTTTGTTTTTATAATAGAACAATACCTTCAAATTTGAGTTGGTTAGTTTTTAAAATATTTTATTTGAGAGGATTTAGTATCAAGATTTCGTGACTTTTTTACCGGTAAATTGAATGAATATTTAAATTTTACAAAGTAGTTTGTATTATGATAGATACCAAGGGCGTAGCCCTTTCTGATCATTTCCCTCCTACAATTTTTTCATTTTCCCAATTTCAATGGGGGGGGGGGGGCTATAGCCCCAGAAGCTGGCTACGCCCTTATACCACTTTTTCGGTTATGAGAGATCCGAACCAGGGATCGATTAGGTAAAACATAAATTCTTTATTTTTGGAAATCGGAATTTTGCATGTTGTGAGAGAAGGAATAAACTTACAAATAATTTTTTTAAATTTTTATTTAAAGGTGGTTACTTCAAATAATTAGTTGTACAATTTATACAACTCTTGGAGAATGGCTTTGTGTAAGAAGGGAATGTTTGGAAATTCCTCTTTCTCAATCAAAATTAAATAATCAAAGAAATTCATTTAGTGATTTGACTACATTAATTGAAACTTGATTGGTTAATTTTTGATTTTTGAGACGATACGAAAATTTCTAAAAATGCAATTTTGTGTATATTTTTATTATAATTTAAAATCTAGAAAATTCTTAAAATAAAATTTTATTAAAATAATATTTGACGAATATATTTTTGAATATTTAACAGTTAAAAACACCCATTTTATTTTACCATATGTTTTTTTTCGAACATAAATTTATCCGATATATTCTTAAAACATTGATTTTCCCCGTAATTTAGGTATGTAATTTTTTTTCATTTCTGGAGAATCATCTCAAAATTAAAATTTCTAGAGAAATAACTGTTAAATATTTTTTTACTTATTTTTTTTTTAATTAAATGGAAACGGGTTGTGTTTAAAAAAATTATATATTTTTTGGCATAAATATTTTTGATACTTACAATTAGATTAAAGAATTATTAAGTTTATATTAATTAATATATCTTTATTTTAATTTATTTAATTATTTTTTAATTTATTAATTAATTCAATAAAATTTGATCATGACAAGAAAACGTGAAAATACAAATAAATTAAAGGAAGACAAAATTGAGAATGGAAAGAAGGAAGAAGAAATTAAAACTTCAACTAATTTAAATATTGATTATTATGATTCGAGTGATGAAGAGGTTTTTCTTATTTTTATGTTTTAAAAATATATTCTTATTGGGTAAAATGGAGGTTGTGTTTTAGATTTATAAGATATTTTACATTTTCCTGGCCCACAGCTGTCTGCTAATCGTTTTTTAATATTACGAACCTTTCCCTTTCCATTAATATTCTTATTTTTATTTAAAAATTCGTAAGTATAATTGTGGATTTTTTAGTCTTAAAAAACTAACTTTTTCCTTCAACGCTAAATTCTCTCGAAATTCTATTTTATAAAAAATTTCAGGATATTCGTAATACAATTGGAAATATTCCTATTCAATGGTATGATGAATACGGACATGTTGGGTATAATTTAGATGGTGAAAAAATTAATAAAGCTGCTGGTAAAGAACAACCAAAAGGACAAATTGATGCATTTTTGGAAAGAGAAGAGGATCCGGATTATTGGTTTTTTGTTAAATTTATTTTTTAAAATTTACAAATTAAATTTTAGGAGAAGAGTTTTTGATAAACAAACGGGACAGAATATTATATTGAGTGATGAACAAGTTGAAAAACTGCAAGCTATAGCAAGCAGTAGATATCCTGAAATTGGTTTGGATCTTTCTAAATTTTTATTGAAATTAATTTTTTGACGCTCAAAAATTTTTTTTACATTTTATATTCGTTCGGGTACTTGCTTTATTCTCTGAAATAAGCAAAATTTGTGTGCATATATTATATTTACCATAATTTACTTTAGAAAATTTCGGTTTCCTAGCTCGATTTTTCCCATTCTAAAAGTGTAAGGACAATTTTCTTTTAAGGAATTTCTATTAAAAATTTCATTTTAAGGTTATAATCCCTACCAACCTTTCTTTGAAATTTTTTCTTTAAAACGAGAAATTCATCCAATATCAAATCAACCACCTTCTAAAAGGTAAAAAATCTCCAAGAATTTAATTTTTAATATTTAAAAAATTTTTAAGTTCATTTGTCCCAAGCGCCGATGAAAGACGAATTGTTGGTAGAATGGTACATGCTATCAAAAATGGATGGATGAAAAGACGAGAAGAAATTGAAAAAGAAGATGAAGAAAGGGAACTTGAAGAAGAATTTCCGAAGGTTTTTCTCTAAATTTTTTTTGTTAAAAAAATTATTTTTTTATAAGGTTTACGATATTTGGTCAGATGAAGGAAATTTGGAGGCTAAAACTAAATCTGAACTTGCCCGGCTTAAAATGAATTGGACAGCACCAAAAGTGCAACTACCTGGACATTCTGAATCTTATAGGTTTTTTTTTAATCTTTTTTTATATTCTCTTTGTTTTTTTATTAGACCTCCACCAGAATATTTATTTTCTAAACAAGAATTGAAAAAATGGGAAGAAACTGAAAGAGAAAGAAGAAGACCTAATTTCATTCCAAGAACTCATGATGCTTTTAGAAAAGTAAGGAGAAATTTTTTTTTTGGGTTTAGAAAAAAAAGTTTAAAAATAAAAAAAGTTTAATCATAGAATAGGAATCGAACCTGCGAACTCGCTTACACCATCTACCAACTGAGCTACTAGAGCAATTTTCGCTTGAACCCTATCTAGCAATAAGCGTTTTAAATCCTTTATGTTAGTTTCCTTTTTTCTTTTCCTCCATTTTCCTTTGTTATTTTATTAACTAAGGAAGGGCTTTTTAAAATATTAGAAAAATTCGGGAAAATAGTAAAAAGGTGCAACAAACGTAAAGTTTAATTTTGAATTATTTTTAAGGTTCCTTTCTATGAGCGTTTTTACGATGAACGTTTGGAACGATGCATGAATTTGTACTTGGCGCCTAGACAACGAAAATTACGAGTTAGTTTTTTCAATTTTAAAGAAAAAATAGGGGACATAAAAATGTTATTGGCTTCGGCTAGACTTGAATTTTTAAATTAAACATTATTTCAGCTCAACGTCAGTGCCGATCAACTTTTGCCTGTACTTCCCAATCCAAAAGATCTTCAACCATTTCCAACTACATTGGCATTTGTAATTTTACCCTATTTTATTTAATTTCTATTAAAAACAATGCCTTTACTATTTTTTAAGTATATGCGTGGACATAAAGGCCAAGTTCGTTCAATTTCTGTTGAACCTGACATTGGCGAGATTTTAGTTTCTGGCGGTGCAGATTCAACTGTTCGTGTTTGGGCACTTCCTAATGGAAATTTTCTTCATAAATATGAAATGTCTGCTCCCGTTACTTGTGTCCAATTCTGTCCGGATCCGAAAAAATTGCTTGTTTTGGTAATTAAAGGGATCCGACATTATTTTATTTAAAATTATAGGTTTCTTGTGAATGTGAAATTGTTACAATTTTAAATATTTCAACTGGTGATCGCCTCTTAATTTCTCAAACAAAACAATTTCTTGCTTCACTTCCAATTGAAGAAGCACCTGAAAATACACCGGGAATTAAATGGGTACGTTGTGAAAAAGAAAAACAAATAAATAATAAAAATTCAAAAATGGAAGGAATTCAACTTGAAATGAAAGATGTAAGGATTTTTTATATAAATTAAATTAAAAATATTATTTTTACTTTAATTTTTTATAAATTATTTTAAATTTTACGATGAGTTATTCAAAAAATTTTTTGCTTAAGATATTCCTTTTTGTACAAAACTATTTTTATTTGCCCACATTAATATGGCTTCGTGGTGTAGTTGGTTATCACGTCAGTCTAACACACTGAAGGTCGCCAGTTCGAGTCTGGCCGAAGTCAAATAATTTTTTCTTTTGTAAATTAATTATTTTTTTTTATTTTTTTGTTTAAAATTAGTTTTAAATATCAAAAAAATTTTTTTCAGAAAATTCGAAGCGTAGTTTGGCATAGAAAAGGAGATTATTTTGCTACACTTGGTTTTCAATATTCTTCTAGTACTGTTTTAATTCACCAATTAAGTAAATGTAATTCACAGGTTTCAATTTTTTAAATTATTTTTTATTTTTATTTATTTTTTAATAATTTAGAAACCTTTTACAAAATGTAAAGGTTTTGTTGAATCTATTTTATTTCATCCTTCAAAACCGTTATTTTTTGTTGGAACGAGGTTTGGTTTTGTTTAAATTAAATTTTTTCTGTATTTTTTTCTAGGCAACATATTTTAATTTACGATTTGGCTAGAAACGAATTAAAAAGAAAACTTTTTCCTGGGACAAGATGGCTATCATGTATGGTGTTACATCCAGAAGGAAATAATCTTTTTATTGGTGGATTGGATAGAACATTTTCCTGGTTTTTTTTTTAATTAGAAATTTTTTTTCGCAATGAATTTTTAAATAAACGAGTAAATTTAAATTTTCAATTAATTTTTGCTGGAAAACATCATTTATTAATAGAATTTTTGTTGAAAATTAATTAAAAATTTTTAAGAAAAATTTTGTTTTATTAAAAATACCCTTTAAAGGATGGACTTAGAATTGGGCACAAAACCTTGGAAAAAGCTTCGAACACACCAATCAGGAATTCGATCAATTACATATCATAAACGTTATCCTCTACTTGCTACTGTGTATGATTAAAAATTTTGAGAAATTAATTTTAAAAAATTTTATTTTTCAAGATCAGATGATGCAACAGCAATAGTTTATCATGCTAAAACAAGTCAAGATTTGGAAAAAGAAAATGAATTAGTGCCAGGTTTAATAATTGAAAATTAAATTTTAATTATTTTTTAAATTAGTTAAACGTCTTTTTGGACACAAAATTTTGGCAAAAAGGGAATTAACTAAATTAAAAGAACAAAAAATAAATGAAGAAAATATACAAGAAGAAGAGGACAAAAATGAAGAGAAGAAGAAGATAAATAATAAAACTCAGGAAGAGGTTAGTTTTTATTTTGAATTTATTGAGTAAAAAATTTGTTGTAGAAAATTATAGAAAATGGTTTAGTAAATTATTTTTGTTTTAAAAATTGTTTAGAAAAAATAATTTATCCCTTTTTCAGTAAAATATTCCCAAAATATTTTTCAAATAAAATTAATTTTTAAAGAATTCTGACAATGAAGAATCCCCTCCAACAAAACTTGACAATACTCGGTTGTCCATACTTTGTGCTACTTTTCATCCAATTCAGGTTGTTATATTTTAAATTTTTAAATTTATTTTTTCTTTTTTTCAGCCTTGGCTAATAACTTCGGGTGCTGACGGAAATATAGCATTATTTACTTATTAAAAAATATATAAAAATTGTTATTTTTTTGTTGTTGTTTTTAAATAAATTTATATTTTTATTCGTAGATTTGTTAATTTTTTCACAAGCTTTGATAAAAATTGCTCCCTAAATTACACACAAAAAGTGAAAGGAGACTAGGAAAATTCAATGTGACATTTGTAAATAATTTGTCCTTCTGACCATTTTGTAATTACCACTAGTTTAGGTAATTCGTTATTTTACTCCAAGTGGGCATTTTTCCCTCGCATTAAAGAGCACAAAGAGAGCACACACAATTAGAGAAACAATAAAGGAAGAGAGTGTTTTTACGGTTGTCTTTGTCTCTGATTCTTTATTCCAATATTTTGTTTATTTTATATCACGTCTGAAATTTATCATTTCTTTTTGCTTGTATAATGTGCTTTTGCTGTATTTCTTGGTTTAAATACCCAAGTTTGAGGTAGATAAAAACTCCAGCCCCTTGTATGAGTGGCTGCTTGGGATAAATTTTGGAATTGTTTTGCTTTTGCGAGGCTTAAATTTTTTTGGATTGTAAGTGTGAGGAAAAAATGAAGTCACTAAAATTAGAAAATTTTTGCTAAAATTATTTTTTAAAGAACATCCTTTTGAAAGCTAGACTACGGAAATTTTTTTTGTTAGGAAAAACTGTTACTAATTAAGATAACGGGTACGACGGAAGTTTTTTTTAAGTTTGGAAAAAACAATTAGCAGTAGAAAAATTATTTTTAGACATTCAAATATACAATAAAAATGAACAAAAAAAAACAATTTTATATACATAAATTTATGACAATACACATTTAGAAAAATTCAAGTATACAAACACAAATAACAACATTATGTATAACATTCATCGAAAATCACATCATTCTCCACACTTTTTGTTCAAGAATCATCTGGTTGTGACCCCCTTCTCGGTGGGGTTTTCTTCAAGTCTGCTGTTGTATCAGTTGGAATATCTTTGACATCGCCTTTTGATGGCCGTTGAATTGTGACTCTGGCACTGCTAACTGAAAAAAAAAGATTTAGACATTATTTAATTAGCCGAACTGTTAGAGATGTGAGACTCTAAAGAACAAAATTTGAATTGACCTAATCGACATTATGACATATTCCCTTCCCGCTCATTTATGTGTATTTAAGCATTTCCCTTTTCCCTCTTTTTGTTCGTTGTCTTTTCTCAGTCTCATTCCCATATTTATTAAGTGACTCGGTCACAATCAAATTGTTTATTTTATTTATTTAAAATAAACTTTATTATTATTCTTAAATTGTGTTATTGGGGAGAAACACAACAAAACTGGCGCGGTCGACTAAACTTTTTAGCGATTGAAAAGAATTTTGATTTGACAACAAATTCTTTTATTTTGATTATTATTTATTCTGATTGGACAACTTCTTTATTCTGTTGACTACAAGTCCAATTTGATTCGACATTAATTTTGTTTGGAGTTTCGACTTTCTGCATTTGGTCGAAAAAGGGAATTGATTTTTGTTTGGACTTCGAAAATTTTTTTTGTGTGCGTTCGTCAGATTCGAACGCTGAGATTCTGCAGGTTTATTTAAGTTTTAAAAGGAATTTATAAGTTGCCCTCTGCCTGTTTGGCTTTCATTCAAAAAATCGATAACTTGGCGTCGCTTCTGACACGCCAACACTGCCGCAAATCAATCAACAAGCTAGGCGCTTGTTATTCTTCTGATTTGATTTAAAGGACTCACAAGCTAGGCGCTAGTGATAAAACAGCTAGGCGCTGGTCCTGATTATTTCTACAAAAAGCCCTATCACAGCTAGGCGCTGTTTGATTGTTTGCTAGGCGCAAATCGGTTTATTCGACAATGGCAACATTTACAGCAGAACAATTCCAGCAATTAATGCAAGTGCTAGGTGCAAATGCAAATAATTCAGCTGCCGCTTCTCTCGCTTCTGCATTGGATTCTAGAATTGGAAAATTCTATTATGAGCCAGAAGCTGGACAGACTTTTGAAGTATGGTATAAGAGGTATTCAAATTTCTTTTTGGAAGAAGGAAAAAGTCTAGACGACTCAGCAAAAGTACGACTTCTTGTCGGAAAAATAGGCGAAAGTGAATATGCTACATTTAGCAATGCCGTTCTTCCTTCCACACCAGACCAGCTGAAATTCAAAGATGCGGTTTGTAAGCTTAAAGATTTGTTTGGAGATAAGCGATCGTTGTTTGTACGACGCTATGAATGCTTCAAGATTCAGCAACAGCAAGGACAAGATATTTCATCTTATGTTGCTTCGGTGAATGCGTCATGCGAGAATGCAGACCTCACCTTGACCAAAGAAGCTTTGAAATGTTTAATTATGGTTGTAGGTCTCCGAGACGAATACCACGACCTACGACAAAAATGCTTACAACTGCTTGAAGATGCTCGACGAAGAAATGAAAACTTCACGCTAGAGAAATTAGGTGAAGAATGTAGAGCATATATGTTGATTAGAGAAAGTGCTCATTCACTTTCGAATGCTAATCCAAGTCAGCAATCCATAAATGCGATTCAATCGAAGCCAAATATTTGGAAAGAGAAGACAAAGAAGAAAAGTCCTCGTAAAATAGGAGGCACACAAAGCAAAGAGACACATCCAAATTCGACTTGCTACTGCTGTGGAAAGCAAGGTCATTGGCGTAAGGATTGCAGATTTAAAGATGCCACTTGTAAAAGATGTTACAAGAAAGGTCATCTAGTCGACAACTGCCGTAGTAGAGCTAGAGCGGATGACAGAAATACCCGCCGAATAAATACAGTCTCAACGTATTGTTTAGCCATGGAAGCTAAAAATCCTGACTGGTTTATAGTTAAAGTGGAGATAAATGGAGTTGATGTTGAAATGAAGCTAGACACCGCTTCTCAGATAACGCTTGTCACAACTAGGACATGGAAGAAGTTAGGGTGTCCGGAACTCCAAATGGCCGATCTCCAAGTGAAAAACTGCAATGACATAGCCTTCGATATCCAAGGAAAGTTTGAATGTTCTGTGCGATTCAATGGAGCACAAAGGAAAACATTAACTGCTTATACTTGCAACTCGGTTGCTCATGATTTATTAGGCATTCCATGGATATGCGAGCTACAAATTCTTGCACAAGAAATGTTGGAAACTTTTCAAAAGTCTACTGCTAAAATCTCAGTAGTGAAGGAAAACAAGATAGCTATGACGGATGCAAATGAGTTGAAAGAAAGTTTGCAATCCATGTTTCCAAGTGTTTTTGATTCAGCATTAGGATTATGCACGAAGCTTAAGGCACAGCTACATTTGAAAGCTGATGCTAGGCCTGTATTCTGCAAAGCTCGACCTGTTCCCTTCGGAGCTTTGGAAGCTATTAATGAGGAATTGGATAGATTATTGGCTATCGGTGCGATAAAACCAGTTGAATTTAGCCAATGGGCTGCTCCAATTTTAGCAGTCAAGAAGAAAAGCGGAAAAACGCGTGTGTGTATTGACTTTTCTACTGGACTCAATAACGCACTTGAATTGAACCGCCATCCACTTCCAAGGCCTGACGATATTTACGCTTCATTAAATGGTGCAAAACATTTTAGTCAGCTAGATTTACGGGATGCTTACCTTCAAATCGAGTTAGATGAAAAGTCTAAAGGACTTTGCGGAATTAACACGCATCGAGGCTTAATGCAATGTCAACGTCTTCCGTTTGGTGTTAAATCCGCTCCCTCAATATTTCAACATGTGATGGATCAAATGCTATCTGGAATTCCCGGAGCATATTGTTATTTGGATGATTTGATCATCGCTAGTCCATCAATTGAAAAGCATGCCCAAACAATTCAAAAATTGTTTGCAAAAATTCAAGAATATGGATTTAAGATACAAGCTGAAAAATGTCATTTTCTGCAAAGTGAAATAAAATTCCTAGGACATTTGATTTCTGCAGAAGGAATTAAGCCAGATCCAGCTAGATCTGAGGCAATTAGAAAAATGCCAGCACCTCATGACGTATCGTCGCTCCGTTCATTTTTGGGTGCATTGAATTATTATGGAAGGTTTATAAGATCAATGTGTGATTTAAGAGCTCCACTGGACGAACTCTTAAGAAAAGATGTCATTTGGGAATGGACAGAAAAGCAGCAAAGTGCTTTCGAAAAAGCAAAAGAAATTCTAGTGTCGCCACTTTTGCTTACACATTATGATCCTTCGCTTCCAATTATAGTTGCTGCAGATGCTTCTAAAGACGGAATTGGCATAGTTCTAAGCCATAAGTTTCCTGATGGCACAGAAAAGGCTGTAGAACATGGAGCCGTCACGTTTACTCCTGCTCAGAGAAATTATAGTCAGATTGAAAAAGAAGCTCTGGCACTAGTTTTTGCGGTGCAAAAATTTCATAGAATGATTTACGGTCGTCATTTCACACTGCTAACGGACCATAAACCATTACTGGCAATATTTGGATCTAAGACAGGCATTCCAATTTATTCAGCCAGTCGACTTCAAAGATGGGCAATAATTCTGTCTAATTACGATTTTGACATAAAGTATGTCAAAACAACTGCTTTCGGAAAAGCTGATGTTCTTTCACGGTTAATTGCAAATTACCCACGTCCAGAAGAAGATATTTTGATTGCAAATATCAGCGCGGACACCGAATGTTTCGTGAACAATGTTTTTGGAACTGTCACGAATGATCTGCCAATTTCCGCGAATGAAATAGCCCAAGAGACAGAAAATGATGTGATTCTTCAGAAATTGTTACTGCAAATTAGAGGAAACTGGGAAGTGTGTAAAGATACAGATCTGCTCCCATATTTTCCAAAAAGAAGAGAAATTTCTGAAATTAAAGGATGTTTAATCTATGGTCAAAGAACGATTATTCCAGAAAAACTGCGCTTGAAAATGCTCAAGGCACTACATTTTGCTCATCCTGGAATAGTAAAAATGAAACTGCTAGCTAAAGAGCATGTTTACTGGCCAAAAATGAATTCTGACATTGAAAGATTGGTTAAAGAATGTCAAAATTGCCA